GACTATTCGATACGAGGTTGGCTTATGTAATAGAAAGAGTTCATACCTGCTTTGTTCGGAAAAACAACATATATTTGCTAAATCCATATGTTGCTAAATTCTGTTGTCTAGAGAATTCGGAACCATGACCGCTTTTGGCAAATTTCTCTTAATTTAAAGCAATTAGTCCCTTTTACAAATTTCGATAGAAGAACAACGACATATCAACTCCGTCTTCTAATTGTTTTGCCGAAATTTCTTTTAATACGATAATCGATTGACTTGATGAAAAGCACTATTCATTCATAATTCTTTTTCTTAAAGTGTTGTTTACAAGTTCAAACTTCGCTCCATCCACACATTTCTACAAGCTTCAATTGTTTAATAATATGAATAACTTTCAGTTAATCTTTTCCATCATTCATGATTCATCAGTTATTTTCCTAGTGCATTGTACAGTCCTTTCAGTTATTCCATCTGTATTCCAAAACCTTGAGTATATATTAGTATTGGTTGTTCAATTCTTTCCTTTAGTCTATCAGCGTTCTTGGTGTTTGTGTGGTAGCTCCACAGGATTGTTTTGTGATGATCAGGTCGTAATGTAAAAGATTAGATGGTGTCTGGTTTTCCTGAAAATCGATGTAAAGATACTCTATTGTACAGTATATTTATGGGGAAAAGTCACAAATATATTGATAATAGTTCTTTTTCACAACTTCTATTTCTGTCTTTTCCTTAGCCGAAAAAAGCTATCTCTACAAGCAGTTCCACACAGGTTTTAAAGTAATTTAATTTGGATTGAGAAAATTTATAGTTAAATAACCTGACTTTACACCATTAAATTTCGGTAACCGAATAAAATCACAATCCACCACAATACAAAGTGTTGCTCGAAATCGCCAAAATGAATACCAACTTGGTTGTTAATTCAATAGTTATCATAGGAGGGTTGTGGAAATTGTTGCATTTGTAGTTTCACATCATGGACTGACTCTATTAAGATAACCTTCGAAAACTAGGAAAGAGAACAGCTTTTTCATCCTAATATAGAACACTTCAAAAATATTCACTAATGACCCCACCAGTGATTGTCTGCAGGACAGAATAAAATGAATTCATTATGTAATTATTTCTCTCTGATCAGCTCCGAACAACTTAAAATTAAGACGACCATAAGAAGAGATAGTGAAAATAAAATATAATATTAAACAGGATAGTTCACATTTATATTTATTTCTTATGTTAAAAATCTAGTTATACTATAGAAGAGAAAGTAACATCCCCAATATTAATATTAATAATAGAAGTAATTATTTATATAATTAATCTTTATAGTCAAGAGAAAATTAACTTTATTGATGGACACTTATTAAAAATAAGATTACCTGATGGTTAAAATTATACCTCTGCATACATTATAGTTAATGTAGTTGAGATGAAACTGTCGTATTTTTGTTTCTAATCACATTATTTTCCATAGCTTTTGTTTATTCTCGGTCAACATTCATCTCTGCTAAATAATAATGACTTTTATAACGTAAATTTTTTTATTTACCATTCTCTGAATCATATGTTGAAAATGTTTGTTAATTTATTATTGACTTCATAAGTATATTTAGTGGTTTAAACCATCCAACTACCAATCGTGCAGGTTCTATTTTCGAAACATTTGCTTCATTTAGTTAGTTGTATATTATCACTAATCTTCACACAAATAGTATGAATTCAAGCCGTGGAAATAAACCCCTACTTGGCAAATGAGTGGGTTTATTATTATTTATTTATTTTAACACATAGATATCGGTACAAGAAGGCACCAAATACATATGCGCCACACAGATCTCATTGGATATGTGTGAGGGCTGTGATACTGCCCGGGTGCCCAAACCGAAGCAGGTAAATGAGTGGGTGGTTCCTTTCTTTTTTTTTATCCAATAGTTTGTTCGTTAATCTTTTATCGATCGTCATAACACAGTTCATATACATTGGCTAGTCACTAAGCCGTATTCTTATGTCCCGATAGGCATAATGAATGGTAACTGTTGGGATCCATTTGTGGACCAATACTATGCGTATGTTTTATCGTATAATTTTTATGTAACTAAACTATTCATATTCATATCTCTCTTATTATGAGCTTTATTTTGACCTATGACCTATTATTATACGATTTACCATTCTTGAGTTATGCCCTGTCTATTGATTACTACCTCCCTCATTCACAAAAACATTCAGCCAAATCTTGTACAAATGTTGTATTCTATTTTACTGGTATGATGTGGTCTGTTTGATTGGTATATAAACCCCATATGTTTGAAATGAATGATTTATCTTGCAGAGGCTGATATTGGTGTTCTGGACTTAACTGGCCGGGCTAGGCGGAAGGCAGGGCCAATCAGGACTCTAGACTGCTCATACGGGTTTACGCGTCATTGATCCGATCGATAAGTCACTGCTCCCTAATTAGCGGTATCACTACTTATCCATTAACAGGGTACTCAGGTCATAAGTTATAACAAGTATCGAGCTTCATGTTTATGTTATTCTCCATGTTGATTGAATTCTATCGATCAAACTGCAAAGGCACCACCAAACTCAACATCTCAGGCACTGTGTTTTGATATTAAATTCTTTGCATTCTACATAGTTCAGTCTAACTGTCAGTGTGGGTGACGTATGTTTCAATCCTCCAGGAGGCATCAGTTTCTCAAAGACTTCAGGTATGCAACTGTGACAAATACCAACCAGCATGAAACAGAGGTTCAATACCTTCCCTTTTTTACCTTTAACCACATTGCATCAAAATAAGAACATCACTATTTCTGAATTGCATATTCTTTAATCATTTTCTGATTTATATCAATCAATTTTAACAGCAAATCTTTTAGCCGTAAATAACAGGCTTCATTGTTTTTGCATTCTTTCACTCTATAAAAATATCGATTCTAGTGTTAAAGTGATTAAAATATTTTTTAAAATTTCTTAACCTCCTTATAATCAATAAGTAATTGAGAGGATGCTTGTTAAATTTTCAGTATAAACGGAATGGAAATTTTATTTAGTGTATGTACAGTCAAGATAATTATGTAACCAATCAATATAGGTATCGTTAAAAACTCAAGTGATCAACGTTTAAGTTTTTTTATTAAACGTGTGGAGTATACTTTCATTTAAACTCAACATGACCTTTAGGTAAACCTTTCAAATAAAATAAATTATGTGTATTCTGAAATCCTATTTATTTGTTTATTTAGACACGTAAACATTGGTACAAGGAGGCACCAAATATAAATGTGCCACACAAATCATTCGATTTGTGTGAAGGCTGGAATACTACCCGAGAGCCCAAACTGAAACAGGTAGTTTTCTTAGGGAGTCACACCTCGAGTCTTTGACCTAGAGTTCTAATCCACAATGTAGTGGAGCAACGTTAGGAGACACAGTCCCATGGTAGCCGATGACCAACAATGGTTTCATACGCCATTTTTTCGCCAAGGTAACTGGAGCGCATGTGCACGATTGGTTTGAAATCATGGTCCTCTGTGTCCATCAACCCGGGTACGGCTCCGAACATTCGCTTTTCGTCTTCTCAATTTCGTAAACAACACTCCTGGTGCGAGAGGGCATTGAGTATTGATTCCCTGACAGCGTCTCTATACGCGTGGCCATGTGAGGGGAACTGACTCTCCCCATGCTCGACCGTACTAGGGCAATGGGGGTTTAATCAAATAAGCACTAGACGATCTCTTCTTAGTTTGAAAGTGACTTCGAAACGATGCTTCCATCATTGTTTATCGAAAGCCCCGATCGATTAAATCAGTCAAATTTTCTTTGAGACTACAGTATCGATTAAAGATCACACTCAATCGTGAATTAACAGAAGTAACAATATATGTATGCCATTAAATTGGGACTCCTTAAATTATAAATAACTAATAGTGCCTACAGGTATTATATTTATTTTTATGTAATAGTTTAGGTTGACGCTCTTAATTTTTTTTCAACCAAAATGTAACCCAGTTGTCTGAGTTCCGAACTTATCGTAACGTTTGAATGTCTTATGTTCAATACATGGTGTACTGTTGAAATGTCCTGTAGTGAGACAAAAAATCTATCAAGTGCATCCTGATTCTGTAATCCAAATTAGTTTGTTGAGCTAATTATTACTAAAATCGAATGAAATTTTTGCTTTAATGTTTCATTTATACATATTGACTTTTTTAATACTTGTTCCACATAAATTTCAAATCATTTATTAATGTGATCACATAATGTAAAGTATGTTGATCATTTAATTAAGTTTACTTATGATTGTCTATATTGGTTTAAGATCTTTTTTTGTTTTTGTTTCAATGTTTTATATTTTCTTGTTATAAAATTAAGTGAAGTTCATTTAGAGTAACCTGATAATTTCAATTAAACAATTCATTATTCTACAGTCAGTATAGTTTATCAATAGGTTATATACTTATATTCTTTCGATAATGATTTTTTTAAAATAATGAATGAGTATTTTCCAAACATGGTATCACAACTCGTCTAAATCTGATAAACTTAATAGGTAGTTTCAAATCACCTTTATTAATGAACTGTTCTACGAGTACTTTTTTTATAATTTTAAACAATGATAGAAAAGAATACATCTTATTTCATAAATACCAATGAGAAATTGTTGTTGTTTTATTTGATCGAGCACCTTTATCATTGCATTAAATTAGAATGTACATTCGTGATAATTAGTTAGTATCATTTGTTTGTTTGAAGATAAAATTGAACATACCTACTAACTTACGCCTGTTACTTCAGGCTGTCGATCAGCGATTCTTAACTAACTTTCTCCAGGCTTCTTTTTCTCATTTGTTCCTAGGTGCTATTCATTCCTTTGATGTCCACCTACTATAGCTCACTATTCCTTATAATAATTAATTGACATTATCAACAAATCAATCCGATATTTAGTTTCTGTCTTTGACGTATAGTTTCAGCTTTATATTTCTGGTTTTCTTTTTGTTTCTTTCAAGTCCCTCGCACAATCAGAAGAAGCAGCTAGACAGTCGGCCGAAACAGCTGGCAGCATTGCCGTTGCTGCAGCTACTGCTCAGTTGGCTCGTCGTGCAGTTGAGGTAGTTGATCGGTTAGGTCGTTCAGGTGCTCGAAATAATTTATCACGTGTAGCAGTATCACCTAATGCAGTAGTAACCAGTGATCCAAGCAATTTAATAAACTCAAACTCAAATCTTGATTTAAACAACCTATCAGATCAGAGTGATATTGATGTGCCGGAAATAAATCAATCATTAGATAATCCGAGGACAGCTACAGAATTATTAATTAATCGAATGGAAGAAGTAGCTAAACGTGCACATCGTGCTGAAATAGCCACACAAGAAGCAGTTGATCAATTAGAAGCAGAAAAGCATTTTAGTCGTTTATATAAAGAAACATGTGCAGAAAAAACAGATCAATTAAATGAAAAGGTATGTTGTGCAATTACTACAATGTGTTAACGAATGAGTTCCATTTATGTATATTAATCTTTAAAGAGAAAGAGAGAAAAATATATCAACAAAATAATACTATGGGTAATAAATTTATATATATATTTTCATCAAAAAGAATAATTCCCTGAATACATCTAAATTTGTATGATTAAATAAAAAATGAAAATGTGCAAATATTCATTTGGGTTTGCCGTTGTTTTTTTCAAAATTAAAGATGATTATTACTTTTTGTACATAGACATAGGGAGACAGAAAAAGAAAAAAAGGGAGATTAATGGCGCACAGATGCCAGATATTATTTAACAGTTGTTAAATTCATTCTCTAAGCAATAATCAACTAATTAATATTTATGGTAAAATCATATAAACTTATTGTGTGGTTTTCTCTACCTCTTCATTCAAATTCATTTTGTTTCATTCATCCGATGAACAAGTGTCAATAATCTGTTGTTTTCTGTACCCAGACAAAGTACCATAAAACTTATCAGAATATGAGTGTCTTTCTTCATTACTAAATTTTAAAAAAGAAAAAAATGTTTATTAAATCTAAACCGGAATTATCTTATATGTTTACTTGCTTCAAACAGTTGGAAACTGAATATAATGTAAACGTTGTACAAGAATCCACATTATATATATGATCTTTTTACTTATCTGTCTGTCATGTTAAGCATGATGATTAATTTCAAATCACAGATCTTATCACGTAATTTAACTGCCATTTTAACATTAATTACTAGTCGGAAAGAAAAATGTCTATAATAAAATGAATCATTTTGAGTTAGTTAAACAAAGTGTGCTGAGTTATAAAATTTTCTGTTTTTCAACACATAACTATGACCGTGCAACAAGAAACTTCTAGCACTTGTGAAGCTGTAACTTAATTGTTAAGGCGCTTGACTCTCAACCACTAGCTCCCAGATCCGAACCCTGCTCCATCTACTTCAGTTTGGGCATCATTCACACTTGAAATGTGGCTGATAAATGAATCAGTCTCTCACCATTCAAGGTCATTTACAGAATCTACTGAGAAACATACCTACCTATTGCGTTTGCAGTAGGCAAACATTCACACTTCTCCAGATCTATTTTAATAAAGTCAACTTGTACAGATAATTAAAATAACCCATAGTGTCGTTGAATAAGAAAAAGAGAATTCAGCGAAGAAAATTTTTCTTTTCGACGAAATCATTTACTTATCTGACCCATAAATTTTGTTCTTCCTTACCCCTTGATTAGTACGATAACCCCATTTGTTATTTATTCTCGAATCCATTTTTGTGATACAATCCTTTCTATCCTCTAATAGACATACATTTTCCATATAACTATATATACGAATGTACAGCTTAAGTAAATGATTTCGTCGAAAAGAAAATTTTCTTCGCTGAATTCTCTTTTTCTTGTTCAACTTGTACAATTGTCTATTTTGTTAAAATCTTTTCGCTTTTATTATTTTTTCTCACATTTTATTCCAAAGTTTTCACTGTCATTTTCTTTTTACATTACGTCCTGAGCAATCTTACTATTTTTAACTTAATTCATACAAATACCGTCCCATTAGATAATTCGTTCATTAATTTCAATATTATTGTACTATTTTTGTAATTCGATCACGTTTTCAGTCGATTCTTGTCCTCAGTTTTCAATGACCTCTATTTACCGTTTTTTTCTTAATAAAAGAAAATAAAATTATTCATAGTTTATTCAATTGGTCCTTTAGTGCTAACTGAGTTTCATTGGTCAGGTTTTCATTATTTCCATTTGACTAAATGGTTCAACATCGTAGTGATTAATTGATGAGATTTAATGTAGTCAGTTGGAAGAAAGTCTGACTTAAATCGTAAATTTAAAAAAAATAGTATATCCAAGTTATTAGACAATGAACAATAGTACGATTACTTCAGTATTGGTATTAATAGCACACTTTTTGAAAACGTGGATTAAATTTTATTAAATTATCATTTCTCATTATATTAGATAGAGTAATATGAATATAATAAACACTTGCATAATATTGTTATAATCCATTGTACCGGGTAAACTATACTTCAAAAGCATGGATATACACATATGACTTTTTTTTCCATGAAAATATCGTAAAATGAATTGAAACATGGAAAAGAAACAAACAGTTGGTACATTTTTATACTCCTATAATCGAGCTTATGAATTGGAATCTCAGAATTTGTGGAAGACAATGAAGGGATGCACCAGCGTTATTGCAAGCGATTTCGGGACATGTCACTCAAAGTCTCTAATCTTTGATTATGATAATCACGTAAGCCCCAACCAGGTAGTCCATATCTATTGACATAGCTGAGTCCAGGTGTCAATGACTCTATGAACTGATGCCATGTTCTAGTTTGGCCACCCCCAGCTTTCTTCCAACCTGAACCTGCACCTCAAACCATCGCTTATCGAGGAATTCAGTGGTTAGGCATGCATAACACAAGTCCCAAGCACCTCAGTTGATGAAGATTCGCTACATCGTCAATCGATTTCCCATATTTAATTAGTACTCTATTCTTAATCCAGGTATTTCTCACTCCGTGGTCACAAAATACATGAGCTATGCTTTGTAGACATCTATAATAGAATACCAGTAACCTGCGAATATCCTCCAGTTTCAATGTTCATATTTCACATTTATAAGGTACAATCAAGCAAACTGCTGTGCAGTAAACTCACCCTTTGGTTAGAAGAAGGATATCCTGCCTACGTCACAAGTGACTCATGTTAGAAAAAAGCCAACCGAGACTTGTGAATTCATGCCGAGATTTTGTGAGACACCAGATCATTAGGACTGATGAGACTCTCAAGATAAGTAAAGTAGTTTATAAATTCAATTACTTATTCCTAACCTAGGTTGTCTAATATTTTAGCTAAAATCCGAGAGTTGGACGTAATCCTCTGTGACTGGTCGCAATCACTGATTGTCACAATATATAAGAAGGGATCAAAAGCACTCTGTGATAACCATAGACGGATTCGTTTGACTAACATAGCAACTAAAATACTAGCCTCATTAATTATCAATGCCTAACAAAAACTCGTAAATCGCAAACACGAGAAAATCAGACTGGCTTCAAACCTTGTCGTGGCCGCATCGACCACATACTCACCGTTCGTCAGGTTCTAGAACACAGGCATGCTTATCGTCGTCCGACAATAGTGGTGTTTCTTGACTTTCAAGCAGCGTTTGACTCTGTTGACCGAGAGGTTCTGTGGCAGTGTCTCATTGAAATTTATACCTCAGAAGTACATAAACCTTGTGAACGCTCTTCATTTGAACACTACCCGTCGAGTTAGAGCTTATGGTCAACAGCGAACCCTAGGTTTATATTTTGTACTACTCAGTACTCATCAACAATGTGTATCTGTGATATTCTGGGGAGTTGATTGTCCCTGTGAGGTCTGAACCCCTGCCTCATCCAACTCCCCAGTCTGAGATGTTATGTTTGAGATATTTTTCGCCGCGGCTAATCAGTTTTTCCTATGATATTTTATGATACTAAGATACATTCATTTTTAGGTATTTGAAAAGACGTAATGTTTCGTTTACATTATAGGTTCGTGAGCTTGAATTGTTGCATGATCGTTATGCGAAAAGTTGTAAAGCAAATCAAAGAGCTTGTGAAAAATATGAAGCTGCTTTAAGAGCTCTTAATGAAGAACAACAAAAATCTGCTCGTTATCTAGAAGCAGCACAGGTTAGTCATTAGGTCTCATTTCAAGCTAATACACTGATATATTTCGTTTGTGTGTAACATACGATATATAAGAAGTAATTAAAATTATTATTATCATTATTATTAATGGCTTTACTCAATATTGTATTTTTGGTACAACATAGAATTTCCAGCATAAAGTATTTCAACAAGTTTCCTATTCTTATTGCTTGATCAATCCTGACGATAAATATTGAAATCTTGTAGTGATACTGAGCAATCTTATTGAAAATCATTTAACCATGATTCTTAAGTTGTGATTGCATCACAATTACGATACATGTTTTGACTTAGTAGGAATTGAAGACAGTCCACCTCGCCAATTAGTGATTGCCAGTTAGACGGATCGCAGTAATGACTGTGCTTTAATCTGAAATGATGGCGATGATATGTAGCTCAGTTGGGTGCTTTTGGTTTAGTTTAGTTTTTCAAACTACATAGTTCAAAAGACAAGCTTTAATTGGTGGTGTGGACAACCCGATTAACTTTACTTCATGTTGAAATAACACAACAATATCAAATGTTTTTATGCTTGCTAACTAGCTACCGAGTATTTTGTTGGCTTCCTATGAAATCTAAATAAATTTAACACTATTGTATGCTATAGAAAGTAATTTAACCATCAACCGTTTAATCTTTGGTTGATGTTTAGTGATTATCCCTTAGATTCTACATATTGTACAAATTTCGATATATATTTTATCGCCTAATTACGTGAGTTACATGAGAAGAACAGATTAAAGTTTATCCTATAAATAAATATCTCTCCATTATACATATATCCATCTGATTGCGATAGTCTCCAAATTTTTACTTTTGTAAGGTTACATTGAACCCTATAACATACATTCAATGGGGTGAGATTATGTCCTACATTTTTCAACCGGCCAATAGTGAGTTCACGAACTGCTCTTATAAATTTATTTATATAGTAGTAGCTCTGCAAGGTTCAGCTCCGTACAATAGAACTGTCTTGTCGTTCATATTGAAAATTGTGACTTGGATGTTGACAGGCAGTTGTTTTGAATTGCAGATGCTTTCCATTCGTACAAATATTGTTCTTGCTTTCTCAATCTATCACCTCATTTCTACATCGGACCCCCCATGTTTGTCAGTGATGGTGACCAGGTATGTATAGCTTTTCATCTCTTCCAGAGCTTCTCCATCAAGTGTGATTGGGTTGGTGTTCTTCGTGTTTTATTTGTGGATCTTGATTTTCCGCTTGTGTATGTTGAACTCTACTGCTACAGAGGCTGCTACTGCACTGTCTGTCTTCATCTGTACTTTTTGGTGTATGGGATAGAAGAGTTAGGTCATCGGCGAAGTTTAAATCGTATAGTTGCATCCATGCTATCCATCTCATTCCGTGCTTTCCCTCAGATGTGGAGGTCTTCAAAACCAGTCGATCACTAAAAGAAATTATGCAGCCTTTTCGTACGCTGGTCTTTACATAGAATGCATCAATCAGCTGTCCTCTATGCACGACTCTGCAGTGTAGTCTATCATAAGTATTCCCTATGATCGTGACAATTAGGTACACCATATGGTCAAAGTTGGTTACTTAAGGTTCTTCTATTCACGCTCTCAAACGCCCATTCATGGTCACAGAAGTTGATGTATAGTGACGAGTTCCACCCATCTGTTCTCTCAAAAATGATTTGTAGCGTCACGGTTTGCCATGTAAACGACCTATCCTTACGGAATCCAACTTGTTGATCTTGAAGTTGTGCGTCTAATTAATTTTCCATTCGGTTCAGTAACACAGTTGAAAACTTTCCCTGGTAGTAATAGTTGTTGTGATGCCTCTGTAAGTCTCACACTTGCTGAGATCTCTTTTCTTCGTTATTCTGTTGAAATATCCTTATTTCCAGTCTGTTTTTACTTGTTCTTCCTCCCAAATCGTCTTCAAGTGTAAAACCCTGATGAATAGCTAAATACAAAAATGTGTTTCTTTGCTCAATTTGCCTTTTTTAATTCACCATATCCTTTATTTGATCCAATCTTTATCCTAATCTACATAACTTGGTCAGTGCACAGCTTATTGTTTCATTTCATACATAGAACTATCTGCATAATACACATCATGTTATATTTTTTTAAACAAAGGTGAAATTCATGTTAAGTCACATTTTGTAAATTATTTTTGGAAAAATTTAGTAAATATCTGTTATTGTACTTGTAGACAGAAAACAGTAAGAAACCATGTCATATGGTCAATTGTTTTTTGTTGATTTCTTCTGTAAAATAAAATGTTCAAGTAGTTGATTTCAGTTATTACAGAAAGAGAGAGAGGGTAAAACGTGTACACAATGAGATGCAACAACGTATAACTAGTCGATCATTTTTAATCTGAACATTCGTAAATTAGGTTTTATTTTCAGATTGACAGTTATTATAGAATAATAATAGCTTAATAAACTGAGATTTGTAATATGTTCAGATTTTAATGGGAATCCTGACAGCAAATTAGTTTGTTCATATATAAATATATTTGTACTTTTCTATGAGACGGGTCTATCATCAAAGTTTTCTGGTTTAATTTTGAAAATGATTGGATATAGCAGTAAATTCATTCTTTAGAAGGAAAACTAATTAAAAAGCTAATGTTAAATTGTGACAGTGTTATAATTTCTTGACTATTTGATTTATTTTAATTATTCACTGTTTCGTATAAATAATTGTTATCATAATCACTAACCTGAAAAGTGTATACAACATTAATAAATTCTGATTTAATATTACTCCTTTATTTGAATATTGATGATTGTGATGATGGGTTTCGTTTATTGATTGAAAAGCATCTTAGAAGTATAGAACAGTATATTAAGAGCCACAAATATATGGTCCGAACAAAAAAATTTCGCTAGATATTTTCACTTTATTGACATTTTAAACATCAATGTAGCTGTTGAATTTACCGCTTGACATTCATCTGTATTATTTTTTGATATTTTAAGACTATTCAATCTTTGAGCTCAGGTCAGGTACGTGAACTTCGTAGGTATGAATTATTACACAAAGTTAATTAACTAAGTAAGGTTATGAACTTGTACTGATTCAAACAAATAGGATGCGTGCTGCTAATTTACTGATTATTATTTCAAAATCTGACGATTCCTTCAGTGACAATTTTTCAACTTAAGACTTTGTAGTTTAGGGCCAAAGTGACCTGACAAAATCCATGAAATTCCTCAGTCTCCACAAGTACTTATAATAATCATTACCAGGTTTGTTTATACTAAATATTTTTCACAGTTTAATAAACCGAAACTGTTTTTTAATACTAAGTAAACCAGTTATGTTAAATAAAGCTAGCTAAAGTATTCTGTCGGATTATTTTACGTATTTTTCACTTCATTTCTTGTCTGTCACTTATCTTGAATTGTTTATCTTTTGATTGGTCACTTGTGAATTTTTTATTTGATTTACAGTTGTATAGAAAAAACTAATGATCCGTCCAATAATTACTATAAGTCACACTAGTGTTTTAAAATTTTTGTACAGTAAATTGTGCAAATGTTGATTGAATGTTTTGTGCTTAAAAAATGAATCAAGAGTAATAATTATGAAACAAGGGGTTGGGTAACTTCACCAAGCAAAAGGTTTAAGTTAACGATAATATGTAATCAAAAAGAGTTTAGAACTGAAATGTTGGCTTGTGATAAATGGTCAATATTGAAGGAAAGGAAGAAAAAGTTAATGACTTTTGGTAACTGGAGGTCAAGACTATGATATAAAAGATGTTGTTTAGGTTTCTTTTGTTTGCACAGCCCTAGCTTTTCTAAATATATAACAAAGAATTAAGTAGTGCTAAGAATGCGGTAATTTATTATCATTGGCAGATGTCCGTTTCCCTTATAGATGACTTTGAATGTTGAATCTGTTCCGGTTGGATGACTCATGTTCATAAGGTGTACAATCATGAAACTGGGTGGATGTATTCCGTTCTGAATTGTCATTGGTCGTCCTCAGTTCGATTATACAAGCTACTTATTTACAACGTTAACCAAGCAATGTTTACTTTTTTCGCTTATGTAATTATTTTAATTATTTTTTTGGCTAGTAATTTGTCACATAAATTATCATTATTATTGTGTATAATTTTTCTTTATGAATTCTCAACAGAATGCTAAAGAAAGCGCCCATGCTGCAACTCAACGAGCAGCATGTGCTAGCAGTGAAGTAGCTCAATTACGAGTTGAACTTGAACGAATGACTCAAGCTTATAGAAAAGAACAAACAAAATGTACTGCCACTGTAAATAAATTAACTGAGGTTAGTTGTTTTTTTTCTTTTTTTTATTCTGCTCGTAATCTAATTATCTTATCAATAAAATTATGTTGACTTAATTAGCCACCTTTTTATATAGTCATTTTCTATAAGAAATGAATGTTGTCAGTTTATGAGATGGAATGCGGTAATTACGCATTATAAATAAATCAAAGGGGCCTATACGGACTAAATACATCGGATGACTAGTACATTACAACAATCCAAGCCAATAATCCGTATCCATATAAGAAAGAGAGAGAAGATGAGATTTTCGGAAGAGCCTTTTTATCCTTAATAGAGGTCAAAATTATAATAGAGCAGCTCTACTAATTTGACAACTAACATGATGCAACAAAAATGGCAAACTAAATATGATAACAACCAATCGAATAACAGAAAAGGTCAGTGAAAAAATATGTTGGCAAAAAGTTACCGCGAAATTCCTTAGACGTCAGAATTACTCTTTTTATTTATCAAGACAACATAATTTTCAGACCTTTTAAACTCGGTATTCGTCTAGATTGATAGAAATAGTTTGTAGTTAAAACATCATTTTGTGAGCAGATTGATTTACAAAAAAATTACTTTTTAATGAACAGATTTCCAAACGACAGAATAATTAGTAAGCAAATAAAATTATTCAACACAATGAATGGACTCATTGATAAGTAAACTAAATGGCACATCAAATGTAGTATAAAATATACATATATTTATGATATAGGTCATTGGTAAATGTATTAAATTAAGGTTTGATTTTCTGCGTTTTATTTATTGCTGCTATATTGATAAATGAAATTTGTTTTTTTTTCTTCTAAATTCACTATTAACTTGCATATAATCCACTTATTCGTGTTTTTTTTTCTTCCTCTTATTTTGGAACTAACTATCATTATTTAACTTGAGGTGAAAGAGATAATAAAACACTAAAGAAAGAGATATTTCAATTTATAACCCTTACAAGCCATTATACATTTTTCCAACCATTAATTTAGTATATTGCTAAAATTGTTTTCACATACAAAACCTTAGCTTGGCTCATCTAATACACTTTCTACCCTTTTTTTACTTGTTTTGATCATGTCAACAAAACGAAAGGTTAGAAAAAGTTGTTTTCATCAAGAGAGATAAATGTTTTTGCCATATATATATATATATATATATATATATATATATATATATATATATATATATATATATATATATATATATAACATCAGTATTAGCATGCAGAATTTATTTATATCATTTCTCTAATTATCTAATGTTTTCGAATTAATTATTTTTTCCCTAATTATTACATATTCCATCTACTAACTTGATATAGCTAGATTTTGTGCAAAATATTTTTAATCCTTTGTCTGCAATGTTTCAAGTGTTTTTTTCACACTGTCTTCTATCTACTTACTTTCTATAAAACCTATCCACGGTTTTTTTTCTTAATGTCATTCTCTATTAAATAGAAAAGTCCATACAGATTTTCACACCAATCTGTTTACAGTCAGGTGGTCTTGTGAGATTTTAACAAACTGATTTGATTGGCTCTCCGATTTTCTTAGCTTTTTCTACTTTATCAGGTTTTGATTAATCGCATTATTTAGTTACCTTTTTCTACTAAGATTGCCATAAAATTTTCATATTTATTTACTGATTTCTCCAACGAAGATACATCTTGTCAATTTACTTGTTACTAGTTCTGTTTTGTTTAAACCCATTATCACTATTTTACTCGAATATCTTGCTATTCTATGCTTATTTTCATCTCTATATGCTTATAAATTGAATTCAAATCAGTTCAAAACTTTGTTAGGCTATTATTTCTAAAATATAATTCAAACTGGTTTTGTTAAAATTTTTACCTGGCACAGCGTTTTTAGCTATCCAAAACAATTGTGCTTTTTCATATTAGTTCAGTTGTTAATTGTTGAATCTTAGAGACTTTCATGATTAGTGTAAGAGAATGTATTGATAATTTTATTATAAATGATATATATATATAATCCAAAATCAGATTTCGTAATAAACGCTAACAACATTTTCGTTTGTTATGATACAAAACGATGTGATCAAGAGACGTCTGCAATTAAAATTACCGATGTGAATCTTTTAGTCTTCCTTACAATAAAATTTTTTTAAACTTATTTATCATAGAAAGTATCAGGGTTCAAATTTTCTTAATGCATAGCATTTGTAAAAAACACTGATTGAATATAATTGATGACGGATACTAAATGTTTACTTTCTATGAACCATGATTAAAACCTGTAAATCGAATAGCAAAGTGTCTTATAACCTGGAATTTTCAACATATTGGTGTAAATAGCTTAAAATGTCTTAAATTAGATGTCAACCTCTTAGTTTCTGAAATTTACCAGATTTCCAATTGTTTCGTCATGACAAATTTCTGCGCGATACATATTTTGAACCAAGCATAGTCTGTTCATTAAGTGTTTCATTACAGATAATCTTCAGAATGCTAACTTGATCTCTACCACTTTCATTTCATTCCATTATGGAGATAGTTATATCTATCTTTTAGCAAACCTTTAAATAAACATGTTCACAATCTCATCAAGGTTATTATACTACAAGATATTCAGACCTGTATCATTCAATATTGCAGTCAGAGATGCTATCATTTCTACGACAATTTCTTAATGACATTTCTATCATAAGATTCTCTCAAAAATGCTAATTAGTTACTAGTTATGAACTGATATCCTTCTGATCGCTGCTCATTTCAAACTGGATTTTGTGGACCACTAGACCAAAACCCTAGAAGACCTACTTCTTGCTGAATGTATGAATAATATAAATTATGGTTTAGATAGTGAAAAGAAAATTAAGTGCTTGTATAAATTCAGCCTTCCTATTTCAATATTGTTAAAATCCACCAATAAACAGTCCATCAGGTAGCACAAACTTAATTCAATGATAGATTACGACTTATTTTCATTGCCTCTATCAATCAATTATTTTCATTAATATCTGACTGGCTTCCTCACGCTTCTCAACTGTATATTTATTTCTTTCTTCTCATGATTCCCTCTTTAACAGGTTATGTCTGGCAAAAATCCCGATACATTAGAATTAATGTGGCTTGCTAGCTTTCAACAACAAGAACAAGAAGCTGGTGGACGAACCGTTAGTCCATTTTCTCTTGGCTCCAATTCAGCTCGTAGTAAAGTAGCCAGTTTGAAAGGACTAGGTCAACAGAAACGCATGACTTTACAATTAAATCAACGTCACAAAGAAAATAAACGTTTAATATCTGAAATTAATCGATTGAATGATGAATTATCTACATTACGGAAAGAAGTGTGTAATAATTTAGTTAATTGTATTTTTTTCATAATGTTTTTTAGTGTTTTCGTTTTAATTATAAATTTCTAACAGTAATTTGTATGTTGAATATTTAATGCATAAAAAATGAAGTGAATTACTTTTTTTCTTAAAAAATTTGTTGATACAAACCTTGAATCAAAATTTTCGTTTAGGAAAACAAAGTCAAATTAAAACTTTATTCATCCATTTGAAAGAGTGAATATTCAAAGAATAGAAATAATAACGTTTTTTTGAATTATCCAAGTGTGTAATTCAAAAGTTTGTCTTTCAAAAATTGTTCTAGATTTTAATCCCACTAGATATTCATAGTCATCTATTAAGAAACTAGTTGAAGTGGAAGGGGACGTGCATCATTTACACTTATTCTATTTCTTACTATGTGTAATGTTGATTTACGTTTAAGCCTTTTCCTAAACCTTTTTATTTATTTTTTCGACATGCCATCAAATTTACTTTTCTTCAGTTTTGGGCAAGTTTAGTTATTTGTTTTCTAAAGATAATATCTATAATAATTAAACTTAAATCCAGCTGATGAGTTCTAAATAGAACGAAACCCTCGTTTTGGGTTCCACTGCTAGCCATCATCCACCTTCCCGTACAAACTTAAATTGGTTTTATTACTATTAATTTTTCTATGGCTTTTTAGTTTAATAGTTGAATTCATGATTCATTCTGAGAGAGACACCACCATTTAGAACCTAGAAGTACTGGATGGCTGTCTCGTCCTAGTATGGGACTCCTCATGAATTCAACTACTACTACAATCTCAAGAAATTCCCATTCTGATAGTGATCATGTGCTCACTAGTGACTAGCTTCAAGATGTATTTCCTGAAGTTCTAATGAGAAGCCGCTACCAGTGCAGTCCGTTGCGTGTTGGGTGGTGACAGTTATCTACTTCAGACGATGGATGAAGGGTTGCGCAAGATCATGAATCGATTAAATTTAGACAATAATGCCGGTTCAGTGATCTAGAGGTTAAGCGTTTGCGCGTGAGATCAAAATTCCTGTGTTCGGGTGCCGCGTAATGCTGATGATTTCCCTACTTGGACGAAACAGTCATCCAGTGCTTTCAGGTTTTCAATAGTCGTCTAGCTTAGATGGACTCATGAATTCAACTTTTAAAATACTGCAATCTTCATAATTGCCCATTCTGCTTTTTATTCGTTCACTGAGATTTCAAAGCTTATTTAGTAAAACATCCTTACTAGTTGTGATATTGAATAGTTGGAATAAATCAAGCTGTCCATTTATAGTTTGGTTGTAAAGAAAAAACTTGTAATACCGTAAGGAAATTCCGTTTGTGACCATTTTTATTTACCTGTTTATAAACCGAATTGAATGTCAATTACTGTTATAACAATGTCTGTCATTTCTTTTTCCTTCATTCTCAAGTGTTTACGTCACTTATCTGATTTCTTGAGAAAAACATTCCCATATGTACATGTTTACATTGGTGCCACAATGTTGTGTTTCAATTCATGTTTAATTAAATTTTATATATATATATATATATATATATATATATATATATATATATATATATATATATATATATTGACAAGAGAAACCAGTGATATATATTTATGTATATAATACGTGCACATATATTGACTTCATGTCAATACAAAAATATATGTGTTTATATCTCAATCTATTTATGTAAACAACACTTTTATCCTCTCAAGTTGATATAGATTGAAATCAAATGAATCCTGAATCATATGTAAATTAATACAAAATTAATTAATAATATCTATATAAGGGCATCTTAAAGGCTTTTTTATTCCAATATTTGAATATTCATACTTCAACCTTGAGGCTAGTTAATGAAAGAGGACGAAGTAAATTTTAAAAAAGAACTCAACTACATATATTAACATGGTTTGATAATTGTTATCGTTCTCTTCAGCTAGATTAAACCTATATGTTATTATATAAACTTTGTGACTAGAACAGGTACATGTAATAATTAAATTTCTTTTCTATGATATTCATTAAGTTATTCCATTTATATTTTTATAAAAATCAGTCTATTGATTTTGAAATTAGATTGAAATGATAAGTTGGGTTGCATGTCTCAAGACCAATCACAATGTCTAAAATCCACTCTTTTTTTCTTTAGATTTTGAGTTTCAAAATTATTTTCTATTTTTTCGTATTCCATGAATCTTTTTATCACTGTTTATACATCTACTGTTACTCTAGTTCTTCATATTAATGATTCCATCTTATATTTGTGTGGAATTGTGTATTTGAACATTTAATTTTTCACTGAAAGATTGGAAACTGCAATTCTATCTTGTCTACTTTAGTTTAAACAGACGGTCAGTATCAATAGCCTTCATGTAATCTGTATAATTTAAAGTTCATTATAAAAAACAACCCAAATTTAGTAGTCATAGTCAACTTGTATATTGTAAGAAATTAATTCATGCTTATAATTACTTAACATGATGACAAATAAATATTTTTATTCTGAAATAGAATTACACAATCAATTGTTCTATTTTTACGTCGATATTGTATTCTCTCTGTGCGTGTGTTTTACGCTTACATAATTTTCTTTTGTTTTTTGTACATATTTTTTTAAGTACGAAAGCAAATTACATTCAAATGAACTGCATACAATGTCAATGGAATTAGAATTGGCTTCGCTTAGAGAGCAGTTGCATACGATTTCAATTACAAATTCATTATCACAACAAGGTATAGATAATAATGAATCAATTAGATTATTGCGTCATCATAATCATCAGAACCATTCATCTCAACAGCAATTAAATCAATACTGTCATCGTAATAATACATCATTGAATAAATCTCTTCTCACTTCTGATATCCCTTCTAGTGTAGCGAACAACGATAATAATAATATCATTACAAATATACATAACGATAATAGTGATTGTGATTTTACATTAAATAAATCATTCGGTGCAACACGTCCTACTTCTACTATACCACCAACGGTAAGTAGGGTATTTTTATTAATTTTTCGATTAGTTTGCGTATTTTTTTCTTTTTATTATTGTTCTATTAAAAGATCTAAATATAATAAGTAGTATAATTGAACGAATATTCAAATTGATAAAGCATATTAATGACAAATTGTGGACAGTATTAATTTGTATATAAATCTAAGTAATGACTGATGTACTAAGTTCTATTTCTATTCGAATTCAATAATTTTATCTCTTTAAACTAATGATAATATAAGCAGTTAGTCTGTATTATTCTCGTGCTAAAAAGATTCAAAGTTACTTAGTTTTTGTAAATAAGTCTTAGTTCCTTGTTGTCATAATAATCACGAGTATGATTTTTCTAATCCCCATTTCCACGTGACTTTTACTATCTTCCGACTAGTTTTTGTCACTTCACGTTTGCTAATTTTTGTGTTTTGAGGTTATGTTTATTTATTACATGTTGAGAGGATTGTCCCATTACAGTTTGCCTTAATTAAATACCAACTTTTCATATATACTGCTACCTGATTTTTGGGGGGATTTACTCGTTGGAGATGGTTGTTGAAATGTCGTGTATGTTAGTTGTTGCCTTTACAAGTTCTAAATAGATTTCTTTCGTATCAGAATCATCTTGATCGTGTTCGTAAATAACAGTTTTTGTAACCGGAACCCGAACAAATCGTGAGGTACAATAACACCACGCCTAATGTGGAAACCGCAAGTGATTTATTTTGAGATTAGATACAAAGTGCTTAAATAAATACTGCAAGTCGTTATCTAGGGCGGCTACTCTAATACTGACCGAAGCCATTGGACCGTCATGTGACATCAGTTGCTAATCGGAGATTCTTTGGCACGCACGCCACAATCGTAATCGTATTACATAGAATGACTTAAAACAGTAGGAACGTTTTATACATTTTTAGTGGAAAAAAGCTGGGGATATTTTTTTCAAATTGCTTAATGTGTTTTAATAGTTCATACCAATGTTTATTTAAAAAGCACGGAAAACTAATCATTTTTAGATAGTATAGAAACCTTCATGGACATTTTTCAACCGATGGTCGAGAAAAAATGGAACAATATAAGAGATTTACTGATATCTATCGTATTATGCTTGATTCGTCAAAGATTTAATTAAACTAACATATAATACTCATTTTTGTTGAGATAGTGGGGAAGATTTGTAGCCTGTGTCGTATGCAAGATATCTCGATGGCTGTTGTCAACGTTTCTAAATGTTCTCATTTTTGTGGTCATTTTTGACTGGTTTAATGCATAATATAAACTCTATCCTTGATTCTTACTGTTATAGTTTTATTTATTATTATTTATTTGAACACATAAATATTGGTACAATGGGGCACCGAATATATATGCGCCACACAAAACAATGATAATTTGAAGAGAAGGAGAAAAAAAAGAGAGAGAACAATAATGGGGTACAATCAGAAGAAATCTTTCAGTTAAGGAAGAAGCAACCGCTTTTTACGAAGAAAGTAAAAGAAGGTTACAGCAGGATCACCACTGGCTTCTATTCTGAGCCATATCTGATAACGTTTCTAGCCACTGTGTTACACCATCTCTCGAACCCAAGCCAAGGAGTCGTGAAGGACCAACAGGAGCTAACCCTTTGCAGCTTTCTTTCATACCACGACACCATGTCATATACTGACCACCTCTCCGCTTTTTCCAACCAGTCTCAGGGTCGGCAAATAATGCACGACGTGGAATTCTCTGGGACGACATTCGTAGAACATGTCCAAGCCACCGAAGTCGGTGTTTCAAGATGGTGACACCAATTGCATTATCGTCTCTGTGACCGAACACTCGATGCCGAACCTCTGCATTACTGACATGGTGTTGCCACTGGTTGCCAGCAATCCTTCGGAGACAGCGATGATCGAACACAGAGAGTCGTCTAACATCCTCAACTCGGAGAGGCCAGGTTTCACAAGCATAGAGCAAAACTGCTCTCACCGACGCGTTGTAGATCCGACCTTTTACAGCCAGACTAACATCACGAAGGCGCCAAAGATGGCCCAGATTGGCATAAGCCGCTCTGGCTTTCACTATACGTACATTGATCACACCACTCACACCACCACCAGCACTTATGCAGCTACCTAGATACACGAACTTCTCGACTACTTCTATCTGCTCACCATCCAGAGTGAGTACAGGATTAGAATCCTGCCAATCTTGTAGAAGTACTTTGCACTTCGAAGGTGCAAAGCACATATCATACCTACGGACACTGATTGCCAACTGATTAAGTGCGGATTGCATAGCTTGGGCATTCTCGCACAGTAAGACAATATCATTCGCATACTCAAAGTCGAGAAGTCTTTCTTCAGGTAACAGATCCACACCACCATTACTTACATCCATCAGAGCTGTTTCCAGAATGTCATCAATGGCAAAGTTGAAGAGGATTGGTGAGATTGGGTAACCCTGCCTAACTCCACTGCTCGAATGGAATAGTGGAGAAAGGTGGTTGTATGCCCTCACGCTGCCTGAGGTGTTTGTGTATAGGGCTTTTAGGATGTTAATAAACCTCTCAGGCACACCCTTCTTCAATAGACAATCCCAGAGATCAGTTCTGTCCAACGAATCGAAGGCAGCTCCAATATCAATAAACACTACGATTGTTGGCCTTTGATAAGTATGGCGGTGTTCTAACACTTGGCGGAGAGTGAAGATCTGATCAATACATCCTCGACTAGAACGGAACCCAGCCTGCTCCTCGCGAGTCAATCTTCCTCAGGTTTTGAACAACCTACGAAGTATGACGGAAGCCAATAGCTTGGACGCAATCGGAAGTAGACTTATCCCCCGATAGTTGTTACAGGAACGACGTGAACCCTTTTTAAAGATAGGGACAACTATCGACTCATTCCATGACGTTGGTACACTCTCTAGTTCCCAGACCTTTGTAAACAACGTCGTCAGTCCCTTAGTCAGAAAGTCACCACCATCTTTAAAAAGAGTTGGAGGTAAGTCATCTGGGCCCGGTGATTTGTAACTTTTCAAGAGTTGGAGTTCCTTGCGGACTTCCGCCTCATTTGATGGATCAGTCGTCACCGGCCATGGAGGGCAGGACAGTCTAACCGATGTTGCTGGAGCAGCAGGCCAGTTGAACTGCCCTTCGAAAAATTCTGTCCATCGTCCAAGAGGTCGATGGATGTTAGTGATTGGCGTTCCGTCATCCTCGCAGATTGTTTCGCTCACACCAGACTTCTTGCTGCTAGTGGCTCGGATGAGTTGGAAGAGCTTCCGGTAATTACCAGATGCAGCAGCTGCTTCCAACTCACTGGCACGCTCCGACCACCAGGCTTCTCGGTCCTTACGCAAGCTTTGCCCGATTTCATTACGTAGCATCCTTCGTCTGTGGTCAAACTCACGGTCACCCGGTGTAGACCGACGGGCTTCAATCAGTTGTAAGGAACCAGAAGAAACCCAGTGCTTGTAGCGGGACGTTTCGCAAACCCACAACTGACTTGACCCGCCATTTTCATGGCGTCATGCAATTGCAACCAATGCTCATCTATACCATACTATATTAGTGGTTACAAACATATTTATACAGGTTCACAAAGTAAGTTAGATCATCATTATTACAAAATATATAGCAATTTACATGCATGATTAGATTGATGCAGAAAGCAATATTACATGTAGTGGATAGAGATATAAGGTCAAAAAGTTTGAAATGATGTGATTCATTAATCGTTTTTGACGGGCCGTTGTCACAAAGATTACAACTATGTAAATCAGCAGTTTGAAACCATAATTCTTCTCAGTCAAGAGATTAAAAAATCTTGTTGGTGTATGAGTAGGATTATTTCTGTTGGCATTACAGATAGCAAGTAGACAAATTCTAAATTCCACTGATTTAAAAAGATATTTGAACGAATAAAATCAACCATGGATAATGAAGGTGTAAAATATTTGTAAAATGGTGAGTTTGATAAGTATGTTCAGTAAGAACAATTATCAGATATTTAATTTCTATGCAATTTCGCTAGTGAAATGAAATATAATCACAGGTATTAATATTTTCATGACAGTTTCAAAAGAGAGATAACCATCAATGTAGAGATGGAAAGGTAAAAGTGATTTTATTTCATTGGTTGAATGTGGCAAAGTATTTCAGAGTCTCCACAATTTACTTACAAAGTAGTTCGTCTAGACGGAAGATTCAGTCATGATAAAAAAATTACATATGCTGTTTCCAGGCATTCCTGCATATTGGATTGCAGCGGCAGATGTAAAAGATGTTTTATTTAGAATTTTAAAGAGAAATTAATACTTTTTCAAAACTTTTATTTTCATGATTACTGTGTTCATCAGTAAAAGTATTTACAAAATTTACTTTATTTTCAGCCTCATTCATCTGTTTCACAAGAATCGGTCGTAAAGTATCCTATTATCAATAATTGTGGTACTACTACTAATAATAATAACAGTAGTCATTTAAAACCTTCACTACTTAACAATACAGGTTCATTGAATAACTCTCGTAATTCTAACGAAATGTTATCCTCCTACACATCGCCTACTATTGATGATCCTTTAGTAAGCGATTTCAAATTCTATGGTATCCTTGAGGTTGGACCAAAGCGTGGGAAGCGGAATAAACTACATTGGGAATCATGCTTTGCACAGGTGAATGTAATTTTTTGTTGTTGTAATAGAATATGCTTTGTTTATATTTCTATCTTCATTGAGGTTACCAAGATTTTTCACGTTGTTAATCTCGTAAAAATAAAGTTCATGAGCATAGCCACTAACTTAATGTGGTAGACGAGCTTATCTATCTTGAAGACTCGATCTATCTGTACTTGTGGGAACAGCCGTTCCAGGCAGGTCTGTTAGAAAGTGGTAAAACCAGAAGCAGTAAACTCAGCGTTTTAAAACAAAATGACGTTAATTACTCTAGGCTATGATGTCAGATAAAGTCATTCTTCAGGCGTATAGCATTTCGAGCAATGCTGTCTTCTCACAACGAGGGAAAGTGTGAGAACGGACCACGGGTGAACTCGAGGAAGCTGTAAGAGGCTCAGAAGGAGCCGAAGATATTCTATCCAACCACCTTTCGGAAGAATATCCTAGAATTCCTACGTGTAGCTCTCCGATTGGACAAGGCTAGTAAACCCGTATATGCTGATTAGAGAGCTGTAATGATGATTTCGTTCTTACTAACAACTATAAATACCTGACAATTTTGTACTATAATTGACACTGTTTGGAATAATATTCCTTTCATTAGTCTTCTGTCTTCTCCTTGCAACTTGAAAGGGTTTTGGCGTTCTAGTGCTCAGTTATACGCGGTATATCAAGTAAACAACCTTCTAAATATAACAGAAAGTATTGAAATTTGACCCTAAAACTAACATGCCATCTATGTCTACGAATTTCCATCGCTGATGATAGAGCCTGAAAATTATCAATATAATGCATAGAAAAATACTCAAAGAAAGGCCATATATGCCCAGCCCCAAGTTGTTTTTTTAAGGTTCGATGTCATGCTTCAAATGCTTAAGCATCTCAACAAGAAGTACCCCACCATGGTGTTGACAAACTTAAAGTGACTACTGCACATACACCTCAGAATAAAAAGTTAACTTAGATATGCACTGTAGAACCATGTAGTGATCCTCTTGTTCTACTTGCCTAATCGAAACATACAACCCTTATTAATTACTTGAATTTGCTATCTCAGAATAGCTCTGTGGTTGAGAGCATGTTTTCATAAATGGTCTCAAGTAATTTTGTTTATATTTGTTATTTTTAACGCATACTCTTCTTTATTTCTTAAAAGACTAATTGAACGAATAAATATTTTAGTTAGCTTAAATAAATTAAGGTAAATATATTACTACCGTTAGTAAATTTACTTCTAGTCTATTGGTGAGTTATTACTAAAGTAGCTTAGTTCAAAGTATGCGTCTGAGACTATTTCAAAAAAATAAACACAACAGGGCAGCTGACCTAACAAAATAACTCAGTAAACCCATAATATTCACTTAAATTTCACAATATTATGGTGGTTTAGCTCTGTTGATCAATCATCCTGATAACCGTTATTATATAAATTTCAACGGTGTATGAATTTAGAGGGCAACAAGAAGTGGCGACTACAATTTATTACTGAATAGCACAGATAACAAAGTCATAAGCACATCAATCGAATTGGAACAGAGAGGCTAATGTGTGTGAATGAACGAATACGTAGACAAATTTATAGTGAAATCGAATCATGGCGAAGCGAAAACAATAAAATTCAAGAATACTAGTTTATACAGAAATGATAGTGATCGTAATAGTAATAATTAAAGGGTTTGACAACAATTAATCATAAGTAAAATTAATTATAGAAGAGTTGTTAATAATATAAGTCAATCGACACCAATAAATAATCCATTTTATAAATTCTTTCTATGTTGATTTAAAATAATTGGTAGAAGCGACTTTTTTATTATTTATTTTCGATAAAACAATGAGAAGACGGAGTTGATCGGAAAAATGTGATATATTTGCGTTATACATTTCGAATAATCTGGTCACACATATACTTGTGTATGTGTAGCGCAAATACATCAAATTTTTTCAGATCAACTCCGTCTTCTCATTGTTTTATCGAAATTTGTAAAAGGGACTAATTGTTTTAAATTATTTACTTTATCTAAAAAATCCAATGAGTTATATTGATATTATACTCTTAATTAATTCACAGTTAGTATCAAATTAGCTAATAAATAATAAGTATTTATTAGTAGTTTGATTAAATTGTGATTATTTTTTTTTTAAATCTTGTACTTGTTTGCTTAGTTAAATTAACATTAAATAATTATCAATGCCATTGAAATGAATTAATGGATTTTAATGCCAAAAATAATATCCATATAAATATATTATTTCTTTTTTTATGATCGTACAAAGTATGAATAATTTTAAAGAATAATTGTGTCTTAGTAATTATTTTCTTGTTGGAGTATATAATTAAAATCACTAGATGTTTATACAAAAGTCTATCATATGATGTTTTGCGGATAGTTATTAAAACTTCACTTATTAACTGTTTCGTTAATTCCTTACGCCTGTTACCCCCCCCTCCCAACGGAGCATAGGTCGCCGACTAGCATTCACCAACCCATTCTGTCCTGGGCCTTCCTTTCTAGTCCTAACAGACTGTTGTTCATTCTTCTCATGTCTGTCTCCGTTTCTCGGTGTAATGTGTTCTCTGATCTTCCTCTTCTTCCTTGGCCTTGACGATTCCATGTGAGGGCTTCCCTTGTGATGCAGTTCGGTGCTTTCCTCAATGTGTATCTCATCCATTTACAACGCTTCTTCCTGGGATCGGGTTTGTTCGCTCCCACAGTTGGTTGTTGCTAATAGTGTCTGACCCACGGATCAGAAGTATTCTGCGTAGACAACTGTTAATAAACACTTGTATCTTCTGAATGATGGCTTTCGTAGTTCACCAGGTTTCTGAGACATACAGTAGAATTGTCTTGACATTTATATTGAAAAATCTGACTTTGGTGTTGGTTTCCAATTGTTTTGAGTTCCAGATGTTCTTCGATTGTAGATATGCTGCTCTCTCTTTGCCGAACCGCGCCTTCACATCTGCATCAGATCCACAGTGTTCATCAATGATGTTGCTCAGATATGTGAAGGTTTTTACATCCTCCAAATCTTCTCCGTCAAGTGTGATTCGATTGGTTCATAATGTGTTATATCGGAGAATCTCGCTTTTCCGTTTGTGTATGTTGAGTCCTACTGCTTCTATACTAGTCTTTTTCTCCCTCATTTGTTGTTGCGTTTGCGATAAAAGAGCCAGATCATCTGCGAATTCTAGGCCATCCAGCTGCATCCTAGCTGTCCACTGTATCCCATGCTTCCCACCAGATGTTGACGTCTTCATGATCCAGTCGGTTACCAGGAGAAAGAGAAAGGGTGAGAGTAAGCAACCTTTCCTGACACCGGTCTTTACCTCGAACAAATATACCAATTTTCCTCCATGCACGATTTTGCAGTTTAACCCATCACGGGAATTCCATATGATGTTGACTATCTTCTCAGGCATGCCGTAATGTCGAAGAAGCTTCCATAGTGTTGTTCTGTCCACGCTATCAAATGATTTCAATGAAGTTGATGTAGAGTGATGAATTTCACTTAATTGATTGTTCCACAATGATCCGTAGTGTTATGATTTTGGTTGGTACACGATCGAATTGTTTCGTTCATTATTATTATCACATATATATATTGAATTGTCAATATTTTTTCATGTAATTTCTTCTTGTCTCTATTTCGTTTTTTAGCTATCACGGACTCATTTAATGTTATGGGATATACCAAATGATTTATGCAAACGTGTACATGAATTACAAAATAAATATTTAGTTGTATCGAATTTTGTTGCATCTACAATCAGTTCAAATATAAATAATTTAAGTATACGTTTAGAAATGCCATTAAATTCATTATATCATGTACGCTCGGTGAATTCATGTGATGTATGTCATGAACGTGTTGAAGATTTGCCCCGGGTTTTTCAAATTATCTATGATCGTCAGTACTTGAGTAATAGTACAAATATTACTAATAAGAATAATGCTAGTAATAATAATAACATATACATTGGAAGTATGAAACAATCTTCAAGTGGTAATGTAGTTAGTAATGTTGGTAAAATGTCAAATACAAGTCCTTCAGGTAAATCAATTATTTTCTTTATGTATGTTTCTCTTCCTTTTGTGTGAGTATATTGATATTTTAAGGTTACTTCAATTTACAGTGGTTTGAATTATCCCTCTGTTAATATTTTTATTGAAATCTGATCAGTCTTAGTTGGTGTATGTACATCCTTCGCGGATCGCCTCGATATACTCACTATGACATAGATTTATATAGAATAAATGGAAAATGACTAGCAGCGGAGTCTTAGATACGCATTTCGTCAACAATGGGACGATCCAAATCATTTTAAATTGAAGTAAAACTTACACCGTTGCATTAGCGGACGACTCTCTCAACTCAGTTGTTAAATGATTAACGCGATAGTGTTTGAAACAAAAGTACTGGATTTTGAATCCCGGAGTAAATTTCAACTCTGGGATGCAAGAACATCCACCTGACGAGTCCTAAATAGGATGAGAAATCTTCCTAGATTCTAACGCTAACCAATTTATCTATTCTATATAAACTTTATTCTTCATCATGGGCTAATACCCGTCCACAGAGCTATCCGATCACCGTAAAACACCGAATAGATGTTTACCATTCTGATTTCAGACTCTTGGACAGTCCGTTCGTGCTCTACCCATTATCGATTCATGGATATTCATGTCCAGCGATAAACAGAATACGTTTAAACAATAGCTTTGAAAATCAAGCAGTTCACACATTTCTAACTTGATTCAATTCGCTATATAGCCCTATCATCAGTGGTTCTGTCTAAATACCTCCAATCTGGTTGAACTTCACCCATTTGTGACATCTCATTAAAGCTTTGGGACTTATTTTCAAGTTAACCACTAATGAACATATGACTACTACTTCTGTAAAAGATTTGTGAGCTGTTCCATTTTTCAAGCTACTTTTCATTGTGAATAATGAAAACATAATCTTATACTTTTCAAGAAGTCATTTGGTTAAATTTACTTCTTTTTTCGAACATTTACTCACCATCCTCATAAACTGAAATCGATTATAAAGTCAAGAGGTTGTGAAACAGCAGTATCATTTTAGTTTGGGAATCATCAACCATAGTCATACTAAAGATCCAGTTTCACATATTTACTTCATGTTATAATGTTTATGGTTAACTGTATTGGATTGTGTACTCCATGATTAAATAAGTTTCAGTCCATAACTTTTTGAGTCTTATGTTTATTTAGATATGTGAATGGTTTGTGAGATATACACGTTTGACATGATTCTTTACGTGTAAGTACTGACTGAAGCAAGTTAAGAAAATAAAATGTTGAAATTCTTTTCATTTATTAAACACTTACGAACAGTACTGAAGGCTAGTATTATGTTGTTCGCACTTGATGAAATATCGAACGATATGATCAAAGAGAAAAACAATAAAGACTTATTTTATTCCATCTGTATAGAAGAGAATAAATATACCATTTTAAATTATAGCTAGCAAACTAAATCTTATTTATTTACGAGCAACTCAATTATAATTACATATTTAATAATTAGCTGTCAAATCGTAATGAAATTTACTTTAGAGTTACAAAGACGTTTTCATAAAATCATCCAACATATAAGTAACATAATTAAATGAAGTCAGATTTGAATAGTGCTGACCAAACACACAACACTTATGTTTTCTTACCGTTATTTCAACTAAATAACAAAATATTAGATGCATTTTTGTGACATATCCAACTGTTCACCGATTAACTAAATATATTCAAAGAAAAGTATTCTGTTTTATATGTAAAACGAAAAGCTACATGTTAACATTTTATTGGCTAAACTATATAAGATCCTCGTTTTAACTTTAAGCTATAATTTTTGGCATTTTGTATAATCTTTTGATGAATGATTCATTTCATATCTTTTTAAAGAATGAAATCAAGATTTTAGTGAAGACTATCAGTCAGTATTGTGATAATCAATTCTTTGATGTAACATGTTCAGTATGAAATAAATATTTAAATATTTGTTATCTATCAATACGTATATGTACGTATTGTTCTGGTGTACTGATACAAGCTGCTTCTACTCATTTTTCGTTGCTATCACAGTTAAAACATTTTACCATACCTATTGTATATGAAATACGCTCTTATATCCATCAAAAAATAACCAGTAACTGATAATACTTAATTAATGTAATTATTTGTAGATAATAATTGGTAGACTGATAGACAGAAACATTGACGTTCTGAAACAGAACAACATGGAATCTTGCGTTGAATAACGATTGGTTCAATCTCCTATTAACGACTATTTTACCACCATGGTTTAATTTGTTTAATCTGGTTGGCGTTTTTTAGCAAGACTTTTACGGGATGAGGTTGCTGACCCCATACTTAATCTGTTGCATAGTATAATTCTCATCCAAACACATGAATGAGTTACTGTCCTACCTGGAACTTGGTTTACTCTACCTGTCTTCCATGATAAAAATAATCAATATTAGGAAATTAATTACCCTACATATATTTTTATATCATGTTTATCGAGTAGTGTAAAAATTCATGTTACTATCGTCACAAAATAAGGATAATTTATGACACAGTCTGATTTTACCACTGAGCTGTCTATATAGAACCACGGGACATTGAATTCAAACCCTACTCCCTAATTTTATGTTTCAACAGTTTAACAGATCACTAGCCTTCATGCCTTAAATATACATAAGTAGCTTATGAATGTACACGTATTTAGTACCCGCCGTTGTTTTTTAAAATTATTGTTACCCAATATCTATTTGTTTTACCTGCATATTTTACTTCCATTAAACGAATTAGGGATTTTTAAACTAAATTCTATAGTTTTTCAGCATTCAACATACAATACTGTATTCGTTTATAGAGATTTTACGAATTTATCCACATAGTTTGACATTCATAATATAACAACCTTTTACCATAATTTCTCTTTGACAGTATTCAAAATTTTGTTAATACAGCTTTTACATAAACAACATTATAGTTCTCTCTATGCGTAAAGATGTTCTTTATTTACCAATAACATTTTAGGTGATTCTGCATCTCAGCCGCGTAAGTCAAGTTTCGGATCATCTGCTCTCTTTTCTACCTCCAGTCCTCATCCTTCAAGTTCACGCCGTGTTGTACGAACTGACTCGGTGTCTAGTTCTCATCCACACTCCGTGTCGAATACGTCCAATAAACGTTTGAATCAGATTGAAAATTCTACTATTGAGCATCAAATAAATTCACCATCGAGTGAGTCACCTCATAGCGTAGAGTCAAGTACAATTTACACTAAAGGACATGTTCTACAACGTATTCTCTTCAGGTCATATGCAACATGTGATCTTTGTCAAAATTCATGCTCCGGTGTTTTTCATCCTCCTGTGTCTTATCAATGTACAGATTGCCAGGTAAGAGTTTAATAATTCCACAATGTCAATACTATTAATTAAAGTTGATTTTGTTATATCCGAGCGAAGATTAAATCACGAGTAACTTCTGAGACATTAATTGACTAATATTATCTATATATTCTTACGGTGTAATTATTTAATAGTTAGATTATGTATATTTATATTCCCCTTATCATAAGCTTCACTTTGACCTATAATTTATCACTGTACGATTTACTGTCCCTAAATTATGCTCAGTTTATTAATCACTGTCTCCCACATTCACAGCCACTTTTTGGCCTATTTGTGTACATATGTTATTTTCTATTTTATGGTACGTTGTGGTCTGCCTGATTGATATATAAACCGAGTATGTCTGAAATAAATGATTTGGTTCGATTTTGGTTGATTCGGAAGCTGCTTTTGTGTTCTGGACTCTAGAGGACGGGTTAGAAGGACGTAGGACCCAATAGGACGCTAGACTGCTCAGACCGGTTGAACTTCATTGGTCTTGTCATAGTGCGAATATTCGTATAAGCCGTATTCTGATTGGTGTATAAGTCACGTGATCGTAAGCCGGACATCAAATCATAACAGATTTCTTAAAGCAACCCATTTAATTACTGGAATGACTGTAGTTGATGAAACCTGTATATCACTTACCAAGTTAGTGATTAAAATCATAACCACTGGTTAACTGACTGAATTCGTGAACTAAAGCATCAGTTCGAACAAATTAGTAATCTCAACATCTTTTAAAAGCAGTAAATTCCATATCAATGCGTATAAGAAAATTAAAAATCTGTAATACCTTTTTTAGTAGCTTCTAGAAATTTAAGATTTTTATCCCCTTTAATATTACACACTTTGTTTTGGAAAGCTTTTCTACAAATAGTAAGTAATTACAGATATATCAGTATATGAATAGTAGAATTAAATTATATGGATGCCCTTAATACTAACCTCTAGACTTCTAAGGCGGAATTGAACGTTATCATTGCGTGAACTTAATCGATTCACGATATTGCGCGACTATTTTCCATTACATGCAGTTGATAATTGTCTCACATCCTATATGGCTGGACTCCATTAGTCACAGATCCTTACCAAATCTCCAGGATTTACATTTTAAAGCTATGCTCTAGTGAGCATATGATTACAATTAGTGTATAGGGACTCGTGGAAATTTTCAAATTATTAAATCTCTTCTTTCCATTTTTTGTAAGCTAATTTTAATTCATTAATATCTCTTATCATCTAATCATACCATGTACAGATTAAATTACACGCATGTCATCTAGAAAATAATGATTACCCTCTACCACAATGTGCTAAAGCAGTTGGTGTTTGTCTATTACGTGCAAGCACAGTACAAGATAAAGAACAATGGATGGAGTATTTATTATTAACTATGAAAACAATGAAATCTTTGTCCTCAACACCGAATATAACAACTCGCAAATCTTTCAATCAAGAGTTATCAAATGTGTCAATGCCATCTACGAAATTGCCATCGTCACCAACGGGACGTTGTATTCCTGTACATGGATGTGGTCCTCTACAATGTAAGTTCCAAGTTTTTGTTATTAGCGTTATATTATCATTCTCAGAGTAATACTATCATTTATAAAATCCTATATATCAACATAGATCGTTCGGTTTCGTCTTTCACTTTTCAAACTTGTAAACATATAAATTCAATGGATACGAAATATCGTGTTCTCAGAAAATTTTCTTACTGCATGAATTAGTGGCAGTAGGGAAGTACTTCCAAGAATGAAGATAATTCCATTCCTTTTCTTCAATAATATTAGACTAGTGAAGTGCATAGTAGTCATTCAAACCTAATGATTATATAAAGTTTGATAGCTCACGTCACTCATCGATCTTAGACAATCATTGAAAACATGGAAGTACAGAACGGCTATTTCTTCTTAGTACGCGACTGTTCAACAGTGCATATCCATGACTTCATTGGATATCAAACGCAGTACATTCAAGTCGCATGGAGCGCGCTTAACCTTCAGACCACTGGTTTGGCATCTAATAGTTTTCATATCTAACTTCAATCAATTCATAATTATACCAAAAAATAACTATTAAAACAACGCTTTTTCATCAACTAAATGAAGTTTCTTCTTGAATGTTTTTCCTGATCAAAAAACACTATTTAGCTCTATCACCAAGTGTACCATCAAGTCCAAGCACAAATCTGGCTATACCAATACGATTTGTCAATCTAACACCATCATCGGATCACCAAATTTCTCACGCTCGTTCAAAATCTTCAATTTGTGTTCGTGATTCACTGAAAGCACGTCCTATTGAAAATTCATCTGTTAATAATAGTACTAATGATTGTTCATTATTATCACATCAATCATATATTCCTACATTGATGTCTTATTCATTACGTCCAACATGTACTATTAATAATGATAATAATAATCCTAGTAATGGTAATATTAGTAGTACAACGACTTCGATAGAATCATCAACACCTTCAACAACGTCACAATTACCAGGAGTTAACAGTTCTCATGAACAACAACAAATGAGTCGGAGCTTCACACTTGGCTTGACAAAATATCGAAGTGAAGATTATACTGATTGTTCAGTCAATGGTAATAGTAGTAATCATCATTATCCTGGTGTTGGGGTTCGATCAATTTCCAAGAGAGAAAGTCCTAATTTCCATATGATCAATAATAGTAATCATCACAATAGTAATAGTTATACTGGTAGTAATAATAATAATATTAGTAAAGCATCATACGACCTTTCGCCGCCTATTCTCTCATCATTTCATCATCATCAACAAACTAGTTCAATTGGATCGATGGATTTCACAAGTGGGGGTGGAGGTGGTGATACGTCTTCGTCATAAATCAGCCAACTATCATCTGGACATATTATTATTCAAGTTAGTAACGCAATTCTCTTTTACTAATATAATATCGTATCTATTTAAAGTATACTATGTAGGGTTATCTTGTTTTTTTTTAATGTTTGCGGAACTCTTTTTTTCAATAGATTATTCCCTTCATTATCGCTAGAGCCATTCTAATTACTGTAAATTGCTATAGTTTAAGGGTGCACTCAGCATTTGCTTCTCAAACAACAGTAGTATCATCGGAACTTAGTGTTTACAAAATGAAATGAATATAAATACTTATTTCACAGTAGTACATGTCTGTTTAATAGAGTAAACGTTGTATGGGAACAGACATCTGATGTCATTTAAATTATGCTCATTAATACGTTAGTCCTGACTACGACAAAACATGCTATATGTAGTAGTTTGTTAATAACCACTATTCAGAATGAAATAATACTTCTGACAATTTATTACGTTGAAATACAATGACTGTTGGAGATTTCACCATACTACTTTATTTGGCGATCTTTTTTTTCGCTTAATCTCTTTCTCCAAAATTCGTTTTATTGTCCTATGTATCTGTATCATTTTCTGTTCACTAACCTATAGTCTGTGTTGCTTTTATTGTTTTTCGAGCTCTTGGTAATATAACTTCTTGTTTAGAAACATATTTTAGGGGTCCATATATTTCTGCATTTATTTTACACCTACAGATCTAGTTGTTACCATTAGTAATCATCTTTACATATATATAGCAGTTGTACATAATATTATGCATTAAGTTAAATTTATCGTTTCTATTATGTATATATAATAGAAATACTATTCACTAAGTATATATTCATAATTCATCTACGAAAGTTAACTACTTTTAAGAGAATTCTCTTGATGATATTCATTCTGTTATTTCATATAACCAGATATCTTGACAAATTTAAACAACGAGCAAAGATAACGAAGTTTGCAAAGTAAAATGAATTTATTATTCTACTTCACGGTTCTTCATCAGCTCTATACAACTTATAATTATTGATATAATTATTAACAAATATATAACATATTTTAGTCTATGAAGTTTAGGTAAATGTTCGTAATGTACCAAAAATCATATGTTGATGATACGTTCACTATCTGTGATGGTATGAATCACGCTTATTGGTTGCTTGACAATTTCAAAAACTCTCACCTAAACGTAATGTTTTCAATAGAATAGGACTCTTGAGAAAAGTATATAAAGAGAAGAAACATGTACAGGAAAGTATTTAAACCTTTCCATCGATGACATTCTGGAAACAGCTCTGATGGATGTGAGAAATGGTGGTGTGGATCTGTTTCCTGGAGAAAGACTTCTCGACTTTGAGTATGCGGATGATATTGTCTTACTGTGCGAAAATGCCCAAGCTAAGCAATCCGCACTTAATCAGTTGGCAATCAGTGTCCGTAGGTATGATATGTGCTTTGCACCTTCGAAGTGCAAAGTACTTCTACAAGATTGGCAGGATTCTAATCCTGTACTCACTCTGGATGGTGAGCAGATAGAAGTAGTCGAGAAGTTCGTGTATCTAGGTAGCTGCATAAGTGCTGGTGGTGGTGTGAGTGGTGTGATCAATGTACGTATAGTGAAAGCCAGAGCGGCTTATGCCAATCTGGGCCATCTTTGGCGCCTTCGTGATGTTAGTGTGGCTGTAAAAGGTCGGATCTACAACGCGTCGGTGAGAGCAGTTTTGCTCTATGCTTGTGAAACCTGGCCTCTCCGAGTTGAGGATGTTAGACGACTCTCTGTGTTCGATCATCGCTGTCTCCGAAGGATTGCTGGCAACCAGTGGCAACACCATGTCAGTAATGCAGAGGTTCGGCATCGAGTGTTCGGTCACAGAGACGATAATGCAATTGGTGTCACCATCTTGAAACACCGACTTCGGTGGCTTGGACATGTTCTACGAATGTCGTCCCAGAGAATTCCACGTCGTGCATTATTTGCCGACCCTGAGACTGGTTGGAAAAAGCGGAGAGGTGGTCAGTATATGACATGGTGTCGTGGTATGAAAGAAAGCTGCAAAGGGTTAGCTCCTGTTGGTCCTTCACGACTCCTTGGCTTGGGTTCGAGAGATGGTGTAACACAGTGGCTAGAAACGTTATCAGATATGGCTCAGAATAGAAGCCAGTGGTGATCCTGCTGTAACCTTCTTTTACTTTCTTCGTAAAAAGCGGTTGCTTCTTCCTTAACTGAAAGATTTCTTCTGATTGTACCCCATTATTGTTCTCTCTCTTTTTTTTCTCCTTCTCTTCAAATTATCATTGTTTTGTGTGGCGCATATATATTTGGTGCCCCATTGTACCAATATTTTTGTGTTCAAATAATAATATAAATAATAAATTTAAACGTTGACAGCTTTTGACCTACCTGTTACAAAAGGTGTCCAGTCAAAACGCTCTTCAATAGAGCTAGAATGTTATGTTTAAAAAGTAAAATAAACAAGGAAAAGAACATTCTAAGGATGATAAACAAATAACTGTTGGTAAAAATAAAACTATTTTCATCCTTCTTCTGTTAAAGGAAGATGAGATTTCAGAAAAGATTTATGGGAGAATCAAGGCGGCACTGAAAGGAAGCCTTCCTTCTACTCACTTGGTTTCACCATACAACAACATGTGCTAGTTATACTGTAGTGAATAGGACACCAGTGAGGAACAACCGAATGTACTTGAAACAACATTACAGGACATGTTAATAAAATCTAACAATCATATGGTAATTGCTTAATTTGCAAAATGTCCATCAGTTGTCTCAAAATGACTCAGACTTCATTTTTCTTGCATTTTCATACAAATTGCATTCTATTTCCATTCTTTACTGTTCGGTCCTCTTGTCCCTCTGCTGCCAGACATTCTGTTCACGGCTAGCGTCATATGCTACTGATGTCGATTTAAGTAGCACATGCCACAATATTATTCAAATGTAGATCAGTATACCTCTGATGTTACCTTCAATCGCATCTATGAATTTACATAAACCTGGGGTGGCAAGTATGTAGAAAGGACGGAGAGAAGGGCCTCTACTAGGTTTTATGAACACATTCCTAAGAACGCACGGCTAAAAGGGAGTAAAGTCTTAGTACGTGTGATTGCCAAATACCTTTTAGATGGTGGACACGCAGTGAATGTGAGTAATGCACTCAACAGACAAAAAACCCCAATCTCTCTCCGTTTGCGGAGGCAATTACTCAAACGCTTTTGGCATGACCTATGTATCCAGAAGAGAAGTCTGGTTAACCTTTCCGTGCCATACCGATTAGATATTTGTCTAATAACCTTTGTCAATCCTAATCTTTTTTTCAACTCTGTCCCCAACCTTTTTATATTTATTATTCTTCATTTTCTGATATTCATCTCTTATGAATGCTCATGTTTATTTTATCATGTTGAGTGATTGCCTGATCACTTATTAATTTTATCGCCTTTATATAACATGTGAATGATTACTTCCCAACATGTTAATACACATCGATCTCAATTATATTTATTCATACACTTTGTGTTATAACTTGTGACCTGAATTTCCTGCTAATGTATACGTAATGATATCGCTAATTAGAGAGCAGTGAATTACCTATCGGACCAATGACGTGTAAAACACGTGCTAGCAGTCTTGAGTCTTTATGGGTCCTAGCTCAGCCAGTTAAGTCCAGAACACCAGTTTCAGCCTCTGCAAAATAAATCATTCATTTCAAACATACGGGGTTTATATACCAATCAAACAGACCACATCGTACCAATAAAATATGAAACAACATTTGTACAAGAATTAGCCAAATGTGGTTGTGAATGAGGGAGGTAGTAATTAATAGACAGGGTATAATTCAAGAATGATAAATGGTATAATAATAGTTCATAAGTCAAAACAAAGCTTATAATAAGTGGGATACGGATATAAATAGTTCAGTTATTTTAACAATTATACGATAGAAATATACGCGTAGTATTGGTCCATAAATGGATCCCCAAAGTTACCATTCATTATGCTTATCGGGACCTAACTCTCTGTATCCCTATTCTTGTGATTATTATAATTTCGGTTACATCTTCAACATTTATCTAAACTTCACAAACTAAAGTATGTTAAACATTTATTAATGACCACATTTATATTAATAATTATAACTTGAAGTTGTATTCAAATGATGAGAAACCGTAAAGTAAAATAATAAATTCATTTTATTGTTGTTCTTGTTTCTATGTTGTTGTTTTTTAATCATAAATAATTTTTAACTTTATCATAGTATTTTTTACGGATCGTATGATTTGATATTTACATTGTTATCATTCTTTATTAAGTATCTTATCTATTCTTGTCACTTTTATACACAAATATACATTTCATATGAAAACAACTAGACTGTCTGATAAATTATTAAATTATTTTTTTAAAAAGAAATTATTTTGAAAATATTTTATAAAATGTGAAATATTTGTTCATAAATGTTTTATTGTTGATTTGATGTTACTTGTAGCATTTTGTTTTTCAAGTTTTGTTTACTGATAGCTAATAATATTGTTGACGTAACAATCAAATCGATATATATAGCATCAATTCAGATAACCTAACAAAATCAGTTGGATTCACTAGTTCTACGTATATTATGAACTGAGTGACTATGTCACACATCACTTTATCCATCCAATACCTCATACTTTACATGATTCAAATAATAAACGTCAAAGATAGTTTTCTATCCGTTTTAAGCAATATATACAGATAGGAACTCTATATTGAGTGGTCGGTTGTTATTTAGGATTACCGGTTCAAGCAACCAGTAATAAATCAATGAACCTCATTCAAAGTAAAAATTTCAATCCATTTAACCTCTATTAGCTACTTGAATATTACGTACACAAAGAATATATATTTCGAGATAATTTTTACTTTCAACTTTGTTCAATACCCAGAAGTAGATAAAATTTGACAGATTTTTTTGAGAAGCTCCATAACCGACTGACTGTTGTAATGTCATAGTTATAATCTCTAATACTATTACCTCGACATACTAACATTTAGGTTACCAAATACTTGGCTATAGATTAAATTTGTTACTACATAGTCCTCGACGAATTTAATTGGTCTATATGAGTCTATCTCTTACTGAAATTTGACGATGAATCATGTCCTACTGACGGAATAATCACCTCTAATCATCTTGTAAAGATCATAGCTGATAGCATATTCCACCCGTTTGCAAAGCGATTACAATTCTTTTTATGATAGCCACATAACTATGTAAGCGGTAATTATCTGGCACACATTTTCGGCTCTTGAAATCAATCAGCTCTAACGAACTAATCAATGTAATTGACTAGAAGTAACAAAGCCTATATTTTCCTGTTCAAATGTTCATACTAGTAGTTGAGTTATATTATATAATAACCTAACTTAAATTTAATATCTTTGAAATTATTTATTAAAATAAAACCACAGGAACTTTGACCCACTATTTCTCCCTACAAAGTGTGAAATGACGTTACAAATATGTCTCACTTGTTCTTCTCAATGTACGTCTTATGAATGTTAATAACTTGATTCATCAATTATTATGTTAGCTATATCGCAAATCTGACATCTATAGTTGTTTAGACGGTACCAAATTTTTATTTTTTCTATTTGATATACATTTATTGTGTCTTAAACTAAGAATTGACTAAGTAATCAAGGGATCATTTAATCCAAACAGGTCCTATGTAGATGCTAAATGTAGACGATATGATTAAACGTTTAATGTTTGACTGTTTGCACTGTTATATTGATTCAGTTATATAACTATTTTAAGAATGTTTTGTGTATGAAATTAAGGTTTCATCGACTGGGTTTCTC